TTCAAGCTCTATTACAGAGCTATAGTCCTGAAAACAGCTTGGTATTGGCACAAAAATAGACTGGTAGACCAATGCAATAGAGTTGAAAACCCTGATATTACCCCACACACCTATGAATATCTGATTTTTGACAAACAATCCTAATTTATATGATGGAACAAAGAGAACATCTTCAACAAATGGTGCTGGCATAACTGGCTGCAGACATGTAGAAGACTGCAGTTAGACCCAAGCCTATCACCTTGCACAAAACTTAAGTCATAATGGATCAAAGATCTCAACATAAATCCAGCTTCACTGGACCTATTAGAAGACAAAGTGGGAAATACCCTTAAATTAATTGGTACAGGAGACCACTTCCTGAACATTACACCAGTAGCACAGACACTGAGGTCAACAATTGATAAATGGGACCTCCTGAAACCGAGAAGCTTCTGTAAGGCAAAAGAGACAGTCATCAAGACAAAACGGCAGCCCACAGACTGGGAAAAGATATTCACCAACCTCACATCTGACAGAGGGCTGATCTCCAAAATATACAAAGAACTCAAGAAGCTAGTTTACAAAACACCAAACAATCCAATTAAAAAGTGGGGTAATGAACTAAACAGACAATACTCAATAGAGGAATCTAAAATGGCTGAAAGACACATAAGAAAGTGTTCAACATCCTTAGCCATCAGGGAAATGAAAATCTAAACAACTCTGAGATACCATCTTACTCCTGTCAGAATGGCCAACATCAAAAACACCAATGACAGTTCACACTGGAGAGGATGTGGAGAAAGGGGAACACTCCTCCACTGCTGGTGGGAGTGGCAACTTGTACAGCCACTTTGGAAATCAGTATGGCGACTCCTCAAGAAAATGGGAATGAGTTTACCACAACATCCAGTAATTCCACTTTTAGGCATATACCCAAATCTTGCAGGATGTAGAATAGACAGAAGCATAATAAGGAAAGTGTGTTATAGAAAAGTAGAAAATAGCTATTTTCCACACTTGATTTCTTCACTCTCCATGATATGGAAGGAGAGTACCATATAATAACAGCAATTGTATTTTGCAGCATTGTCATATATTCTTGGGTATTCTTATTCACAATTTAGTCACATGAAAATTTGTAACTAACAACTAGATTTAACTTAGGGTAAACAACCATTTACAGATTATGTTAATAATTGCCATTCATCTATAGACACACATTAAATCATAAACAATAAAAGAATGGATTTCTATTATTTTACATGATTGTTCCAAGATTTCTAACTATAAAAACATATATATGTGCAAATATTATTGCAATAAAAAAATTACACTTTCATGTAGCAAAGTATTGCCAGTCTACAATCCACACTGCCAGAGGAGCTAGGAAAAAGGGAGGACCCCAAGAGAAGGTTGCATAATTCTGCAGGGGGACAAGAACCCCTAAGCAAAGTAAGAGCATAGGGAGGGGAGAGGAAGGAGGTAGGAAGGGAAAAAGAGAGTGGGGAGGAGAACAAGTGGACTGAGACAGGGGAGGAATAGAGGAGGCAAGAAAGGAGATGCCTTAATAGAGAGAGACAGTACAGGTTTGGAGAGAGGTCTGCCACAGGAAAATGTTAGGGGATCCACAGGGATGACCCCAACTAAGAATCCAGGCAGTGGTGGAGAGGATGCCATTGATGCCCTTCCCCTATAATGAGACTTATTTTTCTACTTTGGTTACCATTCCTAGAGCCTTCTTACAGTAGCTGTTCTAAGCAGAGACAGGCACCCACAGCTAAACACTGAACCATACTCTTGGAATCCAATTGTGGAAAGGGAGGAAGGATGAGCAAAGGAGCCAAGAGGGTGTTGCAGAAACCCGTAGAAACAGTTGACCTGACCTACTGGGAGCATGGAGACCCTAGTCACAAAGCTGGGGAAACAGCATGGGACCAAAACAGGCCCTATGAATTCTTTGCCAGCTAGGAAGCCAAGGCAGTCAATGGGACCTCTAACAGTGGAGCCACTCTTTAACCCTAGAGCACAAATGGACTTTGGGAGCATATTCCCTATGGAGGGATACTATAGCAGCCTAGATACAAGGAGGATCTAGGCCCTCCCCCAGTGATATGAAGGACTTTGAAGGCCCCCTGTGGAGGACCTCACTATCCCTGGGGAGGAGTTGGGGTATGTGTTAGGGGGGTTGGTGGGGAACATTGGAGGATGGGAGGGTGAGGAAATGGGGGGATGGGTATGTAAATATGAGTAGTAATTAAAGAATTTAAATTAAAAAAACACTAAAAAATTATTACACTTTATGAAGTATCAATTGGAGGCACACCTTACCAACACACTGAGGAAGCTGGGTCCACCTTCCACTAATGCATGAAATTGACCCATGTCCAATCATTGTGAAATTTTCTATGCAGGTGAACTCCACTGAATCTCCATGGTGGTAAGGAGGGAGAGAAAACTGGGCAGATCCATGCTCAAGTTCAGGAATATCTCCACATGTTCTTTTCTCCTCTGTAGATAGATGTTACATAAGTATGTTCAGGATCAAGGTATCCCATGAGATACAAAACAGTGTTAAGTATTAATGCTTTAATTACCAACACATATTGGCAAGCTTGTCCACTTTCCATCAACACACTGAATTTTATTGGGTCCCTTCAGTAAAAATCTAGGCTTGCAATCATATTCCACCACATCACCATGGCCATATTCTTCTTTCTTTGTTCCTTTAAATTCCCCATTGAGGAGTTCAGGAGGTTGGTCACAAGATCCCACTTGACCTATTGTAGAATATTATGTAAATATAAATGAAAATGTTCATCTTGCAGACTAAAAATCTAGTTAATAAAAAACCTTTTAAGAATTTATTCACTATATCACTTTTTATAACATTTTATTAAATAAATATTATTTACACTAGACTCACATTTCACAGTTGTAACATGCCTATTGAAATAGCATCAAAAGTATATTGAAGGTGTTACAATGCTTGGTAATCCTGATACCTTGAAAATACATGAAAACCGGTCAGCAATTGTAGGTGTGTCAATTATAATGGTTTTTAAACTCTCAGAATTTTTAACATTCAGTTATCAATCTGTAAAGTGTATTAGCACTGTGCAAAGCATCTGATTAATGTGTTTTAATTTTTAATAAATGCTATTGAACTCATCAAAATCTTTTTTCATACTGTTTGAATATACTCTATGCAATGGGATGGAAGGCTTGTCCTAAAGAAATGTCATCATTAATTGTAATCTAGAAAAAATGAAAGAAGTCTTTGTCATTGCAGCTGTTGTCTGCAAGTGGAAACACGGTGGGACACATTTTAAGAAGCAAGTTAGCCTGGGATTCTCCTTGTAAATAAGTGACTGTGTATTAGCCACACACCACACAGCTTGATTGTGGCTGTCTGTGTATATGCTTAAGATGATAGGCATAATGGAAGACAGGGAGATATTAGGAGAAGGAAAATAAACTTCTGATTCTTATTCATCAAATGTAAAACTGATACTGGCCTTTACATGTTGGGAAATGTGGGGACCATCCAAAGTGGTAGCATTGCACTGAATCTGGTCCAACTCTGTGTCCTCGTCGGCAAGAAAATTTCAAAAAATCTCCAACTTTGTATTTTTCTTTCTTGGGGTTGACATTTAAGTTCATTTCTAGTAAGGGAATGCTGCATTCTCTTTCTTGAAAAGTAAAATATTAGAGTATGCATTTAATCAGTGAGAAGGAATATTATCTTTGTCATGTACAGTCACAGTGAAGTTTCAGTAACCATCTTCCTTAGGAAAATTGTGCCTACTACCTTGATAAACTCCCTAAATTCATATGGAAGTCAGAGAAACATATGTTGATGTCATATATTAGTTATATAATTGAATAATGAAATTCAATTAATTTTAATAGTTCTGAATTGCTGCAGAAAATTATTAATGTTAAATTCTCAACTACCCTATTCCTTCAATACAAAAATTTTCTTTCATCTTTGAAATTAATGGTATACAGTAAATGCATGACATTTTCAAAAAATTATTTCAATTTCATATGGTTGAGAAAGTGAAATGGTAAAATAATTTCTAATGTATTTAAAGTTAGGAAAATAAAATTATTATTTTTTAAATTACAAAACAACCTAAGAATCATGTACAAAAATGTAACTTTAGTTGAGGGTTTGAATATTCACAATACACTAAACTTTTGTTATATTTCCAATCCCTATTATTAACTGTTAATCATTCTGACTCAAACTAAGAATGTATAGTATTGTCCATTACAATTAATTTTTAAAAAACTCTCAACATTGTTAACTCTTATAAAAAATAAACATTTTTCCTTGTTTGAAATCTATCTTTTTTACTAATATATAAAATTAAAGATTGCAACTTAAAGAGTAGGGTTTACAAAAAAGAAAATTCCTACTTTCAAGAGTCAAGTGTTAGCACAAAACTAGCAACAGAAATGAAAGTCATGTCTTTAAAGCAAATAATGAAAGCCTCATGTTGGAGATAGTTACAAAACACATGAGAATGGTACATATTATAACATCTGGAAACACTTACCAAAAATTTCCTATGTTTCAATATTGGGGTTTTTGTTTGTTTGTTTGTTTGTTTTGATTAACTAAAAAAATCAGCCTTAACAAGAGCTATTAAAAGATGGGGGTAACTCAGATATTCACTGTAATGGTGAATTGAAAGGACAAAGCAGTGGATGTAACAAGCTGCCCAGCTCTCTCTCAGAGATCAGAGCTCTGCTGCCTGGAAATAGCCCAGACCTGCTCAAAAATGGAAAACTAGCCTGAACCAGCTCCTGACTAGCCCTGGCCAATTAGAACACAATAACATGATTGCCATTTG